AAACAAGTTTCCATTACTTGTAAATTAAAGATGCACACAGCCCAGCAACTAGAGAGATGCACAGCCTGAGGTTCAGGTGCTCTGTATCTCTTAGCTGACCTGCATCTGCTGAAGATTTGGTGCATAAGTAATATTGATATGTCAAAATACCCAGAGCAGATGTAGGATCACAGTAATTGCCTGTGTCACATCAAATGTGTTGTGCTGCACAAGTTCTTAAATATCCTCCTAACTTATTGCCTTGTAAATTCAGCATTGAGTTACTGACTCAGCTTGTAAAGGCTTTAAATCTTAGCAGTGCAAAACTCACTGTGGACATGGAAATTACTGTTATTAAGGATAATTGATATTAATACTCAAGCCAAGGCTTCTGTCCTCTTGCTGCAATAAACACAGGCTTTTCTTTTTTGTCTATCAAGAATAATATAGGCTTGTACTCAAATTTGTCTGCTAATATGATACTCAGGTCACTCCTGTGATTCACTGAATATCTCAAAACAATCCCAAGCAAACACAGAACCAGTGATCTGTGGCTCTGTGCTCTGTTATTCTAGGTGTCACTGACCTGAAAAGAGGTGAAGAGCTCCTCAATGCAAGAAAGACAAGAAGCTACCTGAGGGTACAGCAAACACCACAAAGATGATTTGGGGTCTGGAGCATCTCTCTTATGAGGAGAATTTGTGGAAGCTGGGCCTGCATAGTCTGGGGGAAAGTGAGGGGAAATCTCATAAATTAATATAAATATATCAAAGGTGGGTGTCAAGAGGAGGGTGCCTCGCTTTTTCAGTGGAGGAGCAGTGGCCATAAACTAAAACACAGACAGGTCCACCTCAATATGAGGGAGAATTCCTTTCTATTAATTGAGGGCAGCAGAGCCCTGGCAGAGCTGCCCACGGAGGTCATGCAGCTCTCCCTCTCTGGAGGTGTTCTCAAGCCACATGGATGGTTCCTGTGTCTCCAGCTCCAGGTAACCCTGCCTGGCAGCGGGGCTGGACTGGATGATCTCTGGAGTCCCTTCCAACCATAACAATTCTGTGATTCTGTGAAAGCAGTTTTAACAGACAATAGAAAGATTTTGTTTAGAACCATGTAAGATCTAATGACACAAACCTACAGACAAACCAACAGCAGCAAGAAATATGTCTTCAAAATAATGCTCTGCTTTCCTAGGTTTCTCAATAGCTCCACTTATCCTATCTAGATTGTTTCTCTATTGATTCCAGATTAATGAATCATTAGATACTACACTGGAAAGCTGTGATTGCAGTGTGTAGTAGAAGGTATATGCACAAAAATGCTGTAGAGTTAAAAGGAATTCTTTGCATTTCGAACCACAGGAATTATCAGAAAAGTGAAAATTTAGTATTTAGAAGAATTCTGACATTAACACATAAGCATTAAAGCAATTGCTTCAGTCATGTGATTTACTACTGACAGGCAGCAAAGTCAGGCTCATTGAAGCAAACTGGAGGGTTCCATTCCAGCTGCCATTGCCTGGAGATTGGCAGAAAAATGCAAGGCAAACACAGCTGCTCCCTATGTAAGCACAGCCAGGGATGGCTGCTTTTGAGTGCCAGGGGGAATTTAATGCTTTTAATGCCTAATAACCGTCTCCTTGCTGGGGATCCAGAAGCTCTGAGGAACAGAGGAAACCTAGGGGTTAGTCCATTTCTACCAAGGGTGTATGGAAGTGTGGTAAGGACTATGCATCCATTGGGGAGAAATCATTAATAGAGTGGTATTCTTTCCTCAGGATTTGTGACATTACTACACTAATAACTGGCAAGGCTTTGCAGATGCAGTGGCTACCTCAGTCATGCTTGAAGTGTGCACAATTAATGCAGTTATACATACTTGTCTGTGTGACAATTTGCTGGGCCAAATTGCAGTGTCTGAAGTAGCAGCCTGTGGCTTACAGCAGGCTGGCATGTGTGAAAATGTGTAAAGAATAAAGTATTGCCAGGTGAAAGTTTTACAACGGGAGCTTGCAAAGGCTGTGTCCCTGGTTTCCTGGAGGGAGGCTGACAAGGTGGAAGGGAAATGGCATGTTATGATCTCAGTCTGAAACGAAATGTTGTCTTATTTCTAGTAGGTGTATGCTCATAGTGAGGTAAAGATCATCTTGGAAGAAGAAGCCTGAAACCATTTTGCAATGAATGAAAAGTTCTCTCAGATAATTGTCAAACACTTCTACAGCTGGCTGTCAAAAGTAGATTCAGAGAAAAAAAATGCTCTTACTTGTCCCCCTATTTTATTTCATGTCAGTGGTGTTCTGTTGGGAGAAAGTGTTTTTCTGTCAGCAGCTGTAACATCGCATTTTGACAGCTCCAGGAAACTTCCACCATGCCTCAGGTTTAACCTGAACAGCTTGTTTTCAGCATCTTGTAACCCCTCAGATGCCAGTGGTGGCTGTGGTGCTGTGAGCAGCTGCACAGTGGAGTTACTCCATGGTCACCTTCTCAATTCCAGTTTAATTAAAAACATCAACCCCATGGCCATGTGCCACTTCCACAGCCAGCAATGGCCTTGCTCAGCAGGACCATCAGGAATGTGAAATAACCACCTCTAGCAGCAGAGATCTTCAACTCCTATCTCTCAGTTCATTAAAAAGCTTGAGCTTGGACAGATTCTCAGATTTTATACTCTCTAAGCCAGAGTTCCAGGTAGAAGAAACCTCAGGCTGAGCAGGGTTGTTGCTGCTGTCATCAACCATCTGTTCTGCACTTGGGGAGCCCTTGCCATGCCTGGCTGCTCTGAAGGCTGTTGCAGAGCATGTGGTGATCACTGGCACCTCAGCACCTCTGACAGAACAGGCGAGGCAGAAAACAGCAGGATAAATATTCAGTTAGAGGACACCTAAGCCCTAAGGGGAGCAAAACCATGTCAAGGTTTGAGAATGGGGATTAGGACATTTGACAAGTGTCAGGGACTCACCAGGGAGGTCTAATCCTGCCTCAGTGGAGCAATGGAAGCACAAACACTGCCAAGGCAGCCCAATGCTCTTTTTTGCAGTTAATGGTGAATGTGCCTATCTTTGGCAGGATGTCTGCTGGCCAAAGTCTAGCGTTGTTGAAGGGTTTCAGAACTCAAGTAAGGTTCCCTTTGTCTTTTCTTCAGGAACCAAATGAATAATGTGTTTTCTTGAAGTGTGATTGTCCCGTGTAGTGCTGCTCCCGGCTGATCTTTCCCACCCTCCCTTTCTGCACAAGCCATCCCACTTTGCATCCTTTGCAGCTGCTTCTCTGCCAGTTCCCTTACAGGCACCCCTGTGCATCTGTAGCACCAGCACCCCTCACCCAGACAGAGCCACTGCCCCTCTCCAGCACAGCACAGAAAGCAGCTCTGAATGAGGCTGAGAGAAAAACACCAAGGCAAACCCCCACATTTACACATAGCCCCAACTCCAGCAATTCCTGCACGGTTGCTGGTGCTGTCCAGCAGCCTAACAGAGCTGAAAACAACCTGGCATAGTCTGAGGGTCTGACCCCAAAGATACTCCTCCAAGTCCCCCAAAGGAAAGCTTTCTCCCCCCAAACATGGTTCTCACTAATTATGGATATAGCATTTTAAGCATAAACAAGACATGACACCTTTCTGGAAGAACAAGTGTTCATTATTTATTAATTATGAGGTGGGAAGGATATTTGTCCACATTGTGAATGCCATGGATTTCAGGCTTTGAAAGTGATCCATGCAGTGATATCACTGCTAGAACAGGAGGTGTCTGTGACCTCATCTTTCACCTCCCAAGCCCTCAGCCTCCACTGTTTGCTGGAGGACATCAGGTGAGTTTGCTCACGGGGTCCTGCTGCCTGCTCTGAGCTCTGAGGTGCATGCCATTGCGAGTGGGAGTGCACAGCTCTCAAAGATGCTGACAAACCAAACTTAATTCCTCAGGAACTGCAGAAAATATAGAAGTCTGGGAGTTTGAATTGGGTTTGGCCCTCAAATTTCTGTGCTAGGATGTTAGGAGAGCTTTGTGCATGATAGCTAATATTTCTCGATCAGGTAAAGAAGTGGAACCATGTGAAAGGGCAAAACATAACGGTCACCACAGAATAGATTTGCCTGCCTTTACTTAAAAAAACTTTCAATACAGATGCTGCAGACAGTCATGGAGCAGCCAGTAACAATGCCTTTTAACAAAATGCATGTGAAGATAATTACCTGTTTGTGTAGAAATGTGTTTGATTCCCAGAACTGCTGAGCAAATTGATAATGTAAAAACAACAGCAGCTTAATGTGGGTATTAAAATTGTAGCTGCAGAATCAAACAAAAGAAACAAACTGCTGTAGATGAAGGGTAGTTAAGTAGCTCTGCAATACCTTAAGGCGAAGATATTTGTCTATGGAATTTGAACTGTTTTGTACTCTTCTGAGAGACCCTAAACATGGATCCTAAACACAGAAACCATCTGCAGCACCAAACCCACAGTACTGTAGCTGTAAGTAGGATTTGTGTTCTGTTTTGAGCAGGGAAGGTTGAGATCCTTCCTTTGCTGTGAACACCTGACCATTTCAGGCCTGATTCAGTTTGTTGGTACCATTCTGCTGCTACCAACAACATTTTGAGTCATTGTTGTATCCCCACTGTTTATCAGTACAGGGTTCTCACCACAGGTTTTTGTCTTTATCGGTATCACTCAGCAGGGGAGAAAGGCCATACAGGGCTTCAAGTTGGAAAGGATCTGAAAAACTGAAAAATTACAGTCAGGGTGTAGATTGACTGTAGGGACACTGAGAGTTGGAAAAAAGCCCCATGATACAACTTCACTTCTTCCAAAAGAAGAAAGGGAGCTAGAAGGGTCTGAATGCTGCCTAGCTGGCTGGTGGAGGCCCAGGAAGAGGGTTTGCTGTAAAATGGGGCTTTGGAAGACCTGGAAAAAAGAAACCCTTGAGAAAGAAGTCAGTGTATTAGGCAGGTGGAGGAGGGTAGTTAAGGAGAAATTGCTTGCACACCAAGCTATCCTCAAACAGATAAAAGACAATTTTAGGCAAGATGAGTTTGGATTTTTGCATTTTAATAAGTCTTTGAATTAATTATCACAGCAGTTGCTAGTAAGCGTTCATTACACTTGTGGCAAAAGCTGAACAATGACCAGGGACTCCATGCCTTGCTTGAGCTCTTCCTAACAGCAACTCTGTTCTAGTATATCTCTCCCTGCCTTTTCAAACTGGGCAGAAGAGAAGGAACGAGCAATATTACTGGAAGTGAAACCAATACTGGCAAGCAGACCACCACCACCAGCAACCACAAAAGGAGCACAGGCCAAAAGAGGAAGACCAACCACAGGAATACCAGCCGCAACTGCAAGACTGGTAACTCCTATCCCAGCCGTCACTACAGAAGAAATGGAATTGATATTTTGAAGTGCTGCCTTGGCCTGTAAAGGAAAAGTAAAACAAAGGTTAGAGACATTATAAGCACTTATATTTACCCCCAGACATGATAACTGAGAACAGGCAAAGATAATCAGGGTAATTGAATCTGGGTCAGACCTGCCCCATTAGCAGAAGGGGCAGCAGCCAGGTTTGTCCCCACAGGAGGTGGCACTCAGCGAGAGGGCACTGCCAGGGTGCAGCCAGAGCACAGGGACCCTGCAGGGGCAGGGGCTCTGGGGAGGCAGCGCTGCTTTGGAGGCCACGCCTGGCACTGGGCTGTGCCCTGCAGGCTGCAGGCTGTGTCCTAGTGCCCGGCTCACAGCCAGCAGCCAGGAGCTGCTCTGGGAGGCGCCCAGGGCTCACCCCGTGACACTCACCTGGCGAGAGACTCCATCTCCGTAGCGAAGCATGGTCACAAAGTGCTCACAGTTCTTGCGGAACAAACGATATGGCAGCTCCTTGCCAATCCATGGCTCAGCACGCCGGATGATCTCCTTCATCGGGAAAGGAGTGCGGTAACAGTCATACTTGTTGTTGACACGCCATCTATGATTTCCCACCACATCCTTCAGATCCTCCTTCTTCACTATGGCTTTTCTGAGAAATGCAGACCCACTGCTGTGTCTGGATGTGTCTCCTTGAACAGGGGAAGGAAGGGAGGAGATAAGACAGGCAGGCAGACCCTCTCTGCCCTTCCCCAAAACCAGAGATGGCTTTTGGACTGCTCCTGGAGAGCTCATCCATACACACAGAGTCCACAAGGAGCAGCCTATGGAGGTAGAACGGGATCCTAGAGCACCACAACACCCCCTCTGCATCCTGCAAAGCTGCACCAATCTTACCAATTGTCGCATGGATGACATGTCCTTTCCCCAAGTAGAGGGCCCAGTGCTCAAAACGTCCCCGTTTGATCTCGATCAGATCCCCAGGGTTGGGGAAGACCTTGTCTTCTGCCCTATCAAGAACATGCATTTCTCCACATAACAATGCCCTCAGCTGGAAAACACAAAGTAAACACACAGTGATAAATTTAGTATATTTGGTGAGAAATTTAAGCTTAAAACCAGTTTTTCCATAGAAAGAGCCAGTAGAACATGGCTGATAATAGCAGGATGGTAGAGGGCCTGCACCAGCCCTCAGCAAAGCACAGGAGGGGAGGTGGCAATATAAGGAAAGCAAAATTTTGCTTTCCAGTGATGGCAGACTATCACAAAACTCATCACAGACAAAAAGTAAAAGCACATGTGACAAACAGGCCAGTGTTTCTGAGAATCACCTTGAATGATGATATGCATCACTTGGTATTGCTTAGTGGCATGGCAGGGAGAAGGAGAAGCAAGGCCAGAATGCTGAACTTGTACACAAAGCTATATTCATAGAAAAGAAGATTCTACGCATGATGAGTTTGAGTTTTTACATTTTATTAAAGCTTTCATTTTATACTTTCTATAAGGGTGGCAAAAGCAGGGCAGAGACTCCGTGCAGCCGGGGAATCCCTGCTTTTCTCTGAGCTTTTCCTGATGGCCCATCAGTGCTCTCTTTCTCTCTGGACTTCAGCCCCAGCAAGCCCACCCACACAGTGAAGGCAACAGCACAGATCCTACTGCCAGCATGCAAACAATTGCTATCTTGGCAGGTAGAGGGAAAGTAAAACTGAGGCTGGAAACATAAGGAGCACTTTCATTTAGCCCCAGCTATGGTAATGGTGCATAGGCAGGGATAATCAGAACAATAAATCAGGAGGAGCCATGTGCCCCATTAGCAGAAGGGCAGCAGCCAGGTTTGTCCCCCCAGGAGGTGACACTCAGGGAGAGGGCACTGCCAGGGTGCAGCCAGAGCACAGGGAGCCTGCAGGGGCAGGGGCTCTGGGGAGGCAGCGCTGCTTTGGAGGCCACGCCTGGCACTGGGCTGTGCCCTGCAGGCTGCAGGCTGTGTCCTAGTGCCCGGCTCACAGCCAGCAGCCAGGAGCTGCTCTGGGAGGCACCCAGGGCTCACCCCTGACACTCACCTCGCCACCATAGCGGAGATTTGTCACAAACTCCTCAGAGCGTCTACCAAGCACATCATATGTCACATCCTTGCCATTGCAACGCTCAGCACGCCAGATGATCTCCTCCACGGGCAGAGGCGTGCGGAAACTATCACACATGTTGTTGACAGCCCAGTCATTTCTGGCCACCTTCAGGAGTTCCTTTTGAACTCTGGCCTTTCTGGTGCGTATTGACCCACTGCTGGCTGACAGGGTTGTGGCTTCTTCATCTGGGGAAGGAAGGGAGGAGATAAGGCAGGTAGGCAGACCCTCTCTGTCCCTCCCCAAAACCTCAGATGGCTTTTGGACTGCTCCTGGAGAGCTCATTTACACACACAGCATCCACCTGGAGCTGCCCATGGAGGTAGAATGGGCTCCTAGAGCACCACAACACCCCCTCTGCACCCTGCCAGGCAGCCCCAGCCTTACCTAGAGGTGTGAGATTGATGACATATCCATCCCCCATGTAGAGGGCCCAGTGCTCATAAGGTCCTCGTTTGATCTCGATCAGATCTCCAGGGTTGGGGGAGTCCTGTTCTTCTGTCATGTCAAGAATTTGCAATTCACTACCTACAGAAGCCCTTAACTGGAAAACACACAGTAAACACTCAGCAATAAGTTTAGATTACTTTTTGAGAAAGTTAAGCTTAAAATCAGTTTTTCCATAGAACATGCCAGTAGGGTGTAACTGATAAAACAAGGGTGATAGAAGGCCTGCACCAGCCCTCAGCAAAGCACAGGAGGGGAGGTGGCAATATAAGGAAAGCAAAATTTTGCTTTCCAGTGATGGCAGACTATCACAAAACTCATCACAGACAAAAAGTAAAAGCACATGTGACAAACAGGCCAGTGTTTCTGAGAATCACCTTGAATGATGATATGCATCACTTGGTATTGCTTAGTGGCATGGCAGGGAGAAGGAGAAGCAAGGCCAGAATGCTGAACTTGTACACAAAGCTATATTCATAGAAAAGAAGATTCTACGCATGATGAGTTTGAGTTTTTACATTTTATTAAAGCTTTCATTTTATACTTTCTATAAGGGTGGCAAAAGCAGGGCAGAGACTCCGTGCAGCCGGGGAATCCCTGCTTTTCTCTGAGCTTTTCCTGATGGCCCATCAGTGCTCTCTTTCTCTCTGGACTTCAGCCCCAGCAAGCCCACCCACACAGTGAAGGCAACAGCACAGATCCTACTGCCAGCATGCAAACAATTGCTATCTTGGCAGGTAGAGGGAAAGTAAAACTGAGGCTGGAAACATAAGGAGCACTTTCATTTAGCCCCAGGTATGGTAATGGTGCATAGGCAGGGATAATCAGAACAATAAATCAGGAGGAGCCATGTGCCCCATTAGCAGAAGGGCAGCAGCCAGGTTTGTCCCCCCAGGAGGTG